GCCTTGTTCATCCTGTTATCTAAATCAAGAATGCCCTGCTGTAATGTTGGCTCAAATTTAGGGGTCAATTTAGCTGACCCTATTTCTGGAAGCCTTCTCTGATCATGCCAAGTACAATGAAAGCATACTATCTCTGCTTTTGGCTCACGAGACTTGCTTCCTTAAATACACATTAACATATTTTTGAACATTTACTATATCATGCACTTTCCCTTCAGTGTTCTTCCCTATGATTATATCTTTAAAAGATATGGGAAAATGACCTCTGTCTCTGATTGTATGTAAAAAATCAACTCAAACTGGATAAAAGACCTAACTTGAAGATCTAAAATGATAAAACTCCTAGAAGAAAACACAGGCGATATATCGCAAAGCATTGGCAAATCCAATAATGTTTTTAAGACATAGAAGCAATCAGGAAAACAAAACAAAGATAGACAAATGGGATCACATCAAACTAAAAATTTTATATGCTGTAAAGAAAATAACAGCAAAATAAAACAGAGCTTGCAGACTGGAGGAAATATGTAGAAGGTCTGTGCATGTATATGTGTATATGTATAGTGTGTGTGTGTTTGTCCATGTATGCAGGTGTGCACATATATATATGTGTATGGGGAGAGGACCACCTTGGGTGTTGTTCTTCAGCAAGTGTTTACCTTGTTTTCCTCTCTTCTGTTCCCCCCTCTCCTTTCCTCTTCTCTCTTCTCTCCTTTCTCTTCTCCACCCGCCCCCCACCTTTTGAGGCAGAATGTCTCACTGACCTGGAGCTCACTAAGAAGGCTAGACTGGCTGTCACTGAGCCTAGAGATTGGCCTTTCTCTAACTGTGGGTTTCCAAGCAAACACCACCACACTTGGCTTTTTGTGTAAGCTTTTGGGATCAAACTCAAGTCCTTGAGCTTTTGCAGCAAGCACATTATAATAGAGCTATCTATCCAGCCCTAGAACATATCTTCCTGTGGTTTGAATAAGAAGCTCCCACAGGCACCTGTGTTCAGGTCTTAATGCACATTTGGCAGTGGAGACTTTAGGAGGAAGAGTCTGGGTGGGTCACCAGGGAAAAGTCATTGCAAGGTAACTTGTCTAGGTCCTCTCTTTCTCTGCTTCCTGTCCCCTGTAAGATGATTCACTCTTCTTTGCCATGACCTGCTAATCAATGCACTGCTCACCATGGACTCAAACTTCCAAAACCATGAACCAAAAACAGCTCTCCCTTAAGCAGTCATGTCAAGTATTTTTGTTATAACAATGAAAAGGTGACAGAAGGAAGTAAAAAAAAATGTAACAAAAAGGAATCCAATGGACAAGTGGTCTGAACAGACAAGTCAAAAGAGGAAATACAAATGACTAATAAGTAGGTGAAAGATTCTCATGACCATTAATTAGCTGGCAGGGAAATGCAAACCAATGCGGCACCAACCTTTCATCTCACTTCCATACACAGATTGTAAAAACATAACAAAACAAAGGAAAAATCAAAATACAGTAAGCTCTGGCAAGGAAGGGAAGGAAAAGAAGCGCTTACACACCATTGAGGGGAATACTAGTGAGCAGAATTACACGTTAAAAACATGATGTGCCATTTGAAACCATGGGTTCCACTCTCGGGTGTTCAGAAGAGAGGAGACATGAGGATACCAAAGACTCCTTGCACACTCGTGTTTATTATAGCACTGCTGACAATAATTAAGATATGGAATCAGCTTAAATACCCAGCAACAGATGACTGGAAAAAGAAAATGTGGTATACAAACACATTGGAATATTAGTCAGGCACAAAGAAGAATAAAATCTTGTCTTTTGCAGTAAGAAGGATGGAGATAGTTAAGCCAGCCAGAAACAGGAAAACAAGTATCACATGTTTTCTGTCATGTGTGGAAGTTAAAAGATGCTGATATGAAAGTAGAGTAGTTACTGCAGCAGGATGGGCAGATGAATATGGGAGGCTGAGTTTGATGGGCATAGATGTGTGTGTGTGTGTTATAATACCACAATAAACCTGTTGATAAGTACAATACTTACTAACAAAAGATTCAAAGAAGTGCCATAAAATACTACTAACTTCCCAAATTATGAAGCCAAGAATATCGTTATTTTTCTGCATATTTATTTTCCCCTTTCCTAGAATTCAGTATCAAAGCTGTGGACGTTTGTGTGTTTGCTAAGCAAGTATTCTACCTCTGAGCTACATATCCAGCCCACAAAGATCTAAATGTCACCCTTTTCCTCCTACTTAGTGTCAAATCATTTCCCACTACAGTGTTCACATTAAATCAGATTTTAAATACAAATATTAAAAGAAAGTCATACAGAACATATTAATTTTTTTATATTTACTTACTATATGAGTGTTTCCCCTGTGTGCACACACGTGTGTACGTACACCTGGAGTTTAGAGGAGGATGTTGGATTCCCTGGAATTGGAGCCATGATTTGAGTAGTAGGAGTTGAGCCTGGGTCCTCTACAAAAGCAGCAAGTGCTCTTAACCATTGAGCCATTGCACCAGTCCACAGAGTTTCGCTTCTTCCCGGGACAATGCTTTCACAGTTTTCATATCTTTCCCTCCCTGCATTCAAAATGCCCATTCTTCCCTGGGCCTCCCACAAATTTCTGATCTTGGAAAAGCACTTTTTACATCCTGTTTATCATTCCCTGCCATAACCGGCCATCCACTTCCTGACTCTCGCGAACCCTAAATCATTCAGGTTTTGCAATGCTGCAGTTACACAGTATCTAACTATAAGCCATCTTGTGTTATTTTATTTTAAAAGATGTGAAAAAGTATAAAAGACACTTTTCTTGAGTGAGAAAACCATTGGATATTTCTAAGAGTGGCTTGGGTGAGTACATGAGCTTCAAGGCTGTGCAGCAAAATGAGAACCCTGGAGAACCATGTCAGTAAAATGAAGAATCTAATATCAATACCAAACCATTTTCCTTTGAGAAAACTGGGCTCTTTTGTAGAACATTGATTAAAAAGACATAAGAAAGGATGATGTGTTTTGTATATGAATCCTTTATTTTTTGGTGTTATTTTTTTCTTTAAGAAATTATTGTGTTTCCAACTATCTTCAGTGTGACAAATGGTTGGCTGAGTGTCACCATTAATAGAGGCATCAATTTTAGGAGTCGTGTTTCTGGAAGGAGGAGGAGGAGACCAGAGTTGAAGATACTACTGATAATAAGCGTGTTTGAATGGTGGTAATTGGCAAGGAGAAAGCCTAAAAGATGTATCCAAAGCCCAACCTTCACATTGCAGGCAAGCTGCCAGATGAAGACTCAAAACAGCACCTACGCTGGCAAGAAAAATACCTTCTGGCTTCTTCCTTGCCATAAAAGCTACTGAGAAGGGTTTAGAGAGACGTACAATCCCCAAAGTGGTAACTTCCGGCTTGTGTTCTATTACCTTGGTGAAAACCTTTGTCATTAGAGAAATGGGGGACAAAGAATGCTCTTTGCCCCTAATTTGTGTGTGTGTGTACATATGCAAGCGAACATGCCATGCACAATATCATTAAACGTCAGACGAGTATGTCCATCTCCCGGAACTGGAGTCACAGACTGTGAGCAGCTTAATGTGGGTGCAGGAAGCAGGGCTTGGGTCCTCAAGAGCAGCAGGTGTTAATGGCTGACCCCTCTCCAGCCCCAACAATTCCATCTTTAACAAAGTATACAACCCTGTGGTCTGGCTGATTAGAAAACGCTATACCAGAACTATGCAGTGAGGATTAGAAATAACTCACAAAATAACTAATATGGGGGCCAGGGAGATGACTGAGTGGTCAAAGCACACAGACAAGGGTTTTTACCACTCAAGTTAAAAACAGGCTGTGAAGGTGTGAGTCAGTGCCTCAATGGGGGAGGGAGGGAGGGAGGGAGGCAGAGTCAGGCAAATCCCAGGCTCCTTGGTCAGCTGGTACAGCTAAAACCAGGATAGGTGAGAGAGACCCTGTCTCAAAAACCAAGGTGGAGAACAATAGAAGAGAATATCAATGTCTACCTACTGTGAGTGTGCGCGCGTGCACACAGACACACACACACACACATGCACACACGCACGCACCTAACATATACCAAACAACAAATGATTGATTTAATTTATAATTATTATTGGTTAAAAATTCAAGTTACTTTAAAGAAATTAAGCAATTACTGTTCGTATGTATTTTAAAAAGCATATGACTTATTATTTATTTTTGACACCGTTCTCACCATGTAACCCTTTGAGTTTGGAACTCACTATGTAGAAACTATGTAGACAGGAGACAAGGCTGGCTTCTAGCTCAGAGATCCTCTATGGGGACAAGACTGGCCTTCAACTCACAGAGATCTTCTTGCTTCTACTTCTCAAGTGCTTTGATTAACGGTGTGTGCCACCATGCCCAGAAAAGCCCTCTCTGTTAGTTTGTCAACTTAAGTATAATAGCTAGGTGAATTCAAGATGTCAAGCAGCTTAATTATGAAATTGGCCATTTACTTTAGTTTGTTTTTTTCAATCTGTCTTCCTATTTAATATTCAAGGCTTTTAGTTTGGAATGTTTTGTAAAATATTTTTTAGTGAATAGGATCTAACTGGCAGTCTGCTAGCAGTAAAAACTGGGTTGTTTGTGGCATATGTGGGGGGCTATGGTTTCCAATTCAACATTATTTTTAAATTATTTATTTTTATTTAATGTGAATCCATGTTTTTGCTTGCATGTATGTCCATATGAGGATGTTGGATACTCTGGAACTGGAGTTACAGACCGTTGTGAACTGCCATGTGTATTCTGGGAATTGAACTAAGGTCCTCTGGAAGAGCAGCCAGTGCTCTTAACCACCGAGCCATCTCCCCAGCTGCCTAGTTCAACATTCTGTGACATATTTACAAGTGAAATCAAGGCAGAGTCCTCACAGGGTGACTTATCTATGTATTAGGAATTCCATTACTGTGTAAGAAAAATGCAGTCACAGTACTTCACAAGAAATAAAAAACACAAATTTTATAAGCCAAGAAGTCACAGGTAACTTGGTTTTAATGAGGGTTTTGATGTCATTAGCTTGTCTGCAGCTACAGTTTGGTAGAGACTGAGCCACGAGAGTGTGCTGTCACAGGGTCATTCTTCCTGGTAGTAGGGTATCTAGGGGTCCCTGGGAAAAGAGAAAAACAGGGAGTCTGCAGGAGGAAAGCATCCTGAAGTGTAGAGTATCTTATTTGTTGAACCTCAGCTCCTCTAGCGTGGAGCTTTGTCTTCCTACCAATAAGCATGACAGTGTTTGCACAGACAGTCCTCAAGCATCCCCTGAAACAACAAAGAAACAGTCATCTGGTGGAGTACTGGACTGGAAGATATTTGGGGATGATTTCTGTGAGCACTTTGGTTTTTCATCTACCACATTGTTGAGTCATGTTAAGGATGGAGAGTCACAGTAAGCATGCTGTTTATTTTGAAGCAAATTATTATCAAATGACTATGCTTCAAAAAGTTTTTAAATTTTAATTTCAAGTGGTCATTTGGGTTTGAAGCATATGTCTTTGCAAAGTTGTCATTCACCACCACCCCCAAAAAAGCCAGACAAGTTAATTTTCACATTTGTTGTTTGCAAGCTTGTTGCTTCAAGATGTGACCGTGAAGTTTAAGTCTGGACAACATAACTCCTCTTACTGTGACCTGGTGTGACCCATGCTTGTGTCCACCCAAATGATTGCTACTTAGTCTAAAGAAAAGCTGTGACTGAGCTGTGAGTTGTATCTGTAATTTAAACCTAAAACTTTAGCGACTCAACAGACAACAATTTATAAGTACAGAAGATAATGCCCAAGAGTAACTGTTAGATCCTACAAACCAGTGTTTGAAGCAATCCTGTAGATGTGGCTCACACAGGGTCTTCATGCTCAGTAGATGGTACTCTGTGCCAGTTGTGGTAGTGCACCATCGGGATCCCTGCTGATCTCATTATGTTGAGGCCATCCTGGTCAACATAATGAGACCAAGTCTCAATGGAAGCAAAACAAAACAATAATAAAAACTTTCATTGATGTATACATATTCTCTAAATTAGGCCAGACTCTATGGAGTAATTTCCTCACTGTTCTATGATGGAGGTGAAGTTTGAGTTATTTTCTTCCTTCCTTCCTTCTTTCCTTCCTTCCTTCCTTTCTCCCTCCCTCCCTTCCTTCCTCTTTCAAATATCTATCTATCTATCTATCTATCTATCTATCTATCTATCTATCTATCTATCTATCTATCTGCCTATCTATTTTTTTTGAGATAGGGTTTCTCTGTATTGCCCTGGCTGTTCTGGAACTTGTTCTGTAGATTAGACTGGCCTTGAAATCACAGAGATCCACCTGCTTCTGCCTCCCAAGCTCTGGGATTAAAGGCATGCACCACCCTACCCAGCTTTGAGTTATTTTCTTTTATTGGCTTTTAGTGGGTAATACCCTAGCATGGTAAGGCACCCAAATAATCAAGAGTATACCATAATTGATGACTTCCTTCCAAATGTATCCCCAGGGACATCTCTCCTCCTTGACAATCCTTGTTGGCATTGTTAATGGACCATTTCAATATACTCCCTTTCTCTGTTCTTACATGTACATATTTAAGCATATGTCACCAGCATTTGCTTTCACATTGAAATGGTAGCATCTGATAAGGGAAAACAGGAATCACACTGAAAGTTGAAGCATTATAGAATATTTCATAAAAATTACATTCATTATTTTATGGTGTGTGCGGGTGCCTGTGTGTGTGTGTGTGTGTGTGTGTGTGTGTGTGTGTGCACGTGTGCCCGTGGGCTCACACACTTTCATGCCATGGCATGTACATGGTGGTCAGAGAACATCTTATGAGAGTCAGTTCCTTTCACCATGTGTGTACAGAAGACTGAACTCAGGTCATTAGTCTTGGCAGTAAGCTCCTTTACCTGTTGAGCCATTTTACTGGCCCTCTCAAGTTCATTGCTTTTTACCATTGACAATGTATAGTGGGGGCTGGAGAGGAGGTTGCACAGTTAAGAGCACTGGCTGCTTTTCTAGATTATCAGAGCTTGCATGGTGGCTCCCAGCTACCTGCAGCTTCATTTCCAGGGCATCTGACATATTCTGCATACATGACAACACTGTACATATGTGGAGCACAGAAACACATGCAAGCAGAATGCTACAACTCAAAAGGTTTAACAGATGATGCATGTAGGAGATTGTTCAGTGTATCAGGGACACAAATCTTTCTCCATTCTTTGGAAGGAGGTGATCGACTGCGAGGCTGAAGTGTAATTTATTTAATTGGGTTTCTATCGTGAAACATTTCAACTGATCTCCTGTCTTTCATGAACACAAACACTGCAAGAAATATGCTTGTACATATGTCTTCATGCATATGCGTTTTCTATCTGCTGTACGGACTCCTAAAGTGATGTCGCTTCTTCATAAACTTAGGAGGTCAAAGTGGATTTTCAGTGCTTCTTTGTCCCCATAGAAAATAATGGAATTGCTCCTACATTTGAGTACAACGTTGCCAATTATTTTTTTGTTAAGTCCTTATCTCCCCCTCCTCCGCCCCAGATACAAATTGTTTTTTCCCCAAGTATTTCAATTCTTTTTAATTTCTAGGACAGTTACAGGTTAAGAAAAGAGCATGCAGGGAGGTTCCCATAAACTGGTGCTGGAATCAAGACTCTTAGACTGGAGTTGAGGTTTGTGACATCTTTGTGCTTCTGTTTTCTTATCTGGAAATAAAACCAGAAGCCACTTCATAGCTTTCAAAGGCTTACAGGAACAGACCTCTGTGGAATGCTCAGACTGGCACCTACCAGTCTGTACAGGAGTTGCTATTACTATTTTGCCATCAGTGTCGTTCTCTTTGCCCCATCTTTTTGCTTTCCACATATTACTCGTGCATAGCCTACAAAAACTACTATTTGGACTTCATGTCTCTGAGTGTCTATTTATTTTACTTCCTTCAAGGTAGTTTCAGAGTTATGCTTCTTCCAAGCAACCCTTTCAAACCAGTCCAAACTACCATGATATAACAACAGTGTGTCTTCAGATGTATTTGTTGATATACTCACTGTATTATACTATGACATAGTGATATATAAAGCATGTCAACAATCACTCTGGTTAGTAGTTTCAGGTCTGCTTCAGATCATTTAAATGGTCAAGTCAGCTCTGTGTTGATCTGAGACAGAATAGAGTGTTCTTGTTTGAAGAACTTATTTCTTTCAATTCCTTGTTTTACTGTTATTGTTGTTGTTTAATAGTATGGATACCTTCTGCTAACCTCTCTAATTTCTCTTTCTATTTTTATATTCTCAGTCTTCACTGTTACTTGGGCTAATGACTCATAAAATTACTGGTTTTCTTTCCTTATCTGGAAGTGAAAATTCTAAGCATTTGCACATTCTAATTCTGGAATTGCAATTTCAATGAGAATGCTCCTGTTCAACTATCAAAACCAAATAATTTTGTAAATGTGTCTTGTCTAGGCTCTTAAAATAATCATTTTTAGATTTAGTCTAAGAATATGACAGAATAAAGTGGACATTGGTGGAGAAAATACTCTTATTTCTACTCTTTACACTAATATGAAGTCTGTTCTCATTGATATCTCAAGTTCGCCCAACAATTTTATAGTGCCAGTAGATAGTCCCTGTTCAATTGGAGGAAAATGTCTAGTCTCTAAGAAATTTGTTTCCTGATAATAGGTGCATTTCTATTTTTCTTTTTCACTCAGAGAAGGGTATACGGTTAGTTTATGTGATTATTGGTAAAGTAGTAACTAACTTAATATGTAGATTGTATTATTGTATATATACATAATAATGTACTTCTTTTGACTTAATTATATGAATTTCAAAAGACATATGTACAATGAATCTGTCTCAAGTCCTAGCCGTAATAATCCCTATGTAGAGAGGTAGAGATCTGATGATTATCTGGAAGAAAGAGATCACTATTCAGCACAGAGTTTCAAAGCTAGGTTCTTCAACAGGGAGAGGTTGCAACAAGAAAAGAATTTTCCAAATGTCTTTATCTCTCCAGTTAACATATTACAACTCAATCTAGAAGACATCTTCAGAGAGTCATACATCCTACAGTCATAGCCTTAACCTGTGACACGCAGAAGACAGATGTGACTTTAGGCCTAAGAGACTTGGCAGGACAAAGTGTTGAATATGGGCCTCAAGACATCACACCCAGGGTTCTAGCCTCTCTATTTACCCATTGCCTTTCCTCATTATAACCATAATTAAAAGAAAAAGAGAGAAAAATACTGGAGTATTCTGGATACTGGGTTACACTGCTAAGATTTTATGACATTTGTTAGGGCCTTTTCTTCTGTAAAGCTGGTTTTTAGTTACGAATTTTCTTTCAAGGGTCTAATTAAGTAAATTATCAGGTTTTGTAACAACAAATTATGAGTTAAATTGACTAGTGTTACGAAAAGATACCTTGGGAATGCAATGGTGGTGGAACCCTTCCCTAGCCTTTGTAGTGCCCTGGGTTCAATGCCCAGTACAAGAAAATAAACAACAAGAAGAAAATACACAAGGACTCCCCAGTCACCCTGTGTTATAGCTGGTTTAAATGTTAGTCTAGCTTGGCGAATAATTGGTGGTCAGGAAGACAAATTTATAGGTAAATCCTTTGCTATTGCTCCCTTTCAAAACAAAATCAAATTGTTTTCTGTTTTCAATAAAATCCATCCATGTTCAATGCTGCGTAGTTGTGGCTACTGTTTTGGCTGAAGCTCGATTGCTAGAGAAGCCTGGGCAGCACAGTGAATCCCTTCCCCAGAAAAAGGAATACCAAAGTGAAAAGTGTGTGACAATCCCATATGTAAACCTCACTTTGTAAGGCAATTTAAAATATTTCAATCTGCAAAAGAGGAAAACAAACATACATGAAATGTTTTTTATGATGGAGTACAGGCCCCTTCCCGCTTTTGCTGTTCGCTGGTTGCCTCATCTCCAGTCTCTCCCAGCGGCCTTCAGAATCATTATTCATAAAAGTTAACTGGCTGTTCCCACCTCTCACTTTGATGTTTTTTCTTCAGTACTAAGGAACTGAATCAAGGACTTCATGCATGCCAAACAAGTGTCCCACTACTGAGCTACAGCCCTAGTCCCACTCTTTGAATTTTTTCTTTATTTGAAGGGTAGTGGCATTTTATGATGTTGAGTCTGCCCATCCATGAACACAGTTTATTGTCCATCTATGTAGGCACATATTCAATAATACCTTAATTTTCTCTGTAAAACTACATGGTTGAGGAAATTGGTTTTAGTTTTCTTATATTTGTGCTCCTGTAACATTTATAATGAAGTCACTCTTCTTGGAGTACAATTTTCATATAATAAAACACATCCAGCCTAATGGCGGTGTTGCACACCTTTAAATCCCAGCATTCAGGAGGCAGAGGCAGGTGGATCTCTGAGTTTGAGGCCATCCTGGTCTACAGAGCAAATTTCAGGACAGCTAGGGTGACACAGAGAAATCCAGTCTTAAAAAACAAAACAACAACAAAACAAAAAAAACATTTTAAGTGTACCCCATGATCTTTTTTTACAAATTCAGACATTTCTGTAGCTGTCACTAGTTAACTTTACAATAATCTTGTCATGTTTGCTTTCATTCTTTCTCAGCCTCTACCCTAGACTCATGCAAATAGTCTTCTCTTTTTTTGTCATTTGGAGTTTTTTGGTTGTTTTGGTTTTTAGCTTTCTTAGTGTTTCACATGAGTAGAATCATGGTGACCACTCTTTTTGTTCCCATGTTTCTTAGCATTTAAAAAATTAGTTCTATTATTGTGCATCTGAGTAGTTGATTATTCTGTTTGTTTATTCTTGTTTTGTTTTTCCTTTCTCCTATAAGGCAGAATTTTATTAATAGACAATAATCTAATTATCATTTTGTCTAAAATTATCTGCTGCCTAGCATAGTGATTGTAATCCATTTCATTTACTATAAATTATCTAATGCATTTCATGAAATGTCTTCTTAAATGTTTCAGCATATTGTTTCTTTTTAAACTTTTTCCTTTATTTTTGAGATTGTAATATAATTTCATCATTTCTCCTTTCTCGTTCCTCCCTCCAAATCCTTCCATATAACCCTCCTTGCTCTTTTTCAAATTCATGGTTAATTGTCATATGCATATACACATGCATATGT